TGTCCTCCCCAGCTGATCACGTCTGTGCCCACCCGCCACCTGAAGTTCCTGAAGGAGGCGGGCCACGGCATCACCAAAGAGGAGATCAAGAAGGAGGAGCTGACGGAAGACACGGACGAGATCGACCACGCCGAAATGGAGCTGAGGAAAGGCCAGATCCTCTGGTTCAGAGGCCTGAACCGCATCCAGACCCAGGTACCACCAGCCAGCGGCTATTCCCCTCTGCCGTTAATGTTTTAACATTTCTTAAAATGTGAAGCAGGATTACTCCAAAAAGCAAACAATGGCTGGAGTTCAGCTTCCTTAATGCGCACAGAGGCTAAGCATTAGGAGACATTCCCTGTCTCTCCCCCAGCAGGCAGTCCCAAAGGAGAATAAAAAAAAGACAAAGGTTTATAATCCAGACGGTTAAGTTATAATACAGATCAGCCACTGGTCAGAATGGGTTGAGTTTTTGCTCAGAGCAGAATACTGAACCATGTCTGTTTATCCCTGAGGATGTGGAAACACAGATTTTCACACGTTTTAATCCCCACCAAATGCCTGCTCTAATTAGAGAGGTGTGGCTGTGTTTTATAGATGCCTGAGCTAATAATTGGACTTATAATTGTCTTATAAATCAAACCTGTGTGGAGGATATAAATCGGTTCACTGGAGCTGTGTCCCATACAAACCAGAAGATGTTTTTTTTTTATAGCTTTCCATTCTGACTTGAGTCCAAAGCATCCTAACAGCCATGTTGGGAGGTTAGAAAAAACTCAAACAAGTTTCTAACAACTTCCCTCCTTTATTCTGGATGACGGGTTACTGTTAAACAGCAGAGCTCTGTTTCGATTTTTGTTCTTCCACAAGAAACTGTGATAAAATGTTTATAATTTCACCGCAGCTGCTAAACTGTTTTAACTGAGATGATCAAGGCTGGAGCCTCGTCTCCGCTGTGGCTGGAGTGTGTTGGAAAGTCGAGTGTGTGAAGGTAAAACTGGAGATTATTGCAGTCCGGCTAATTTCACAGTCTGCCGCAGAGCCTCGGTACGGATCCACTTCATTAAAACGGAGGAGAAAAACCCACCAGCATGTAGTAAAAGCTAATGAATATTTGGATTAGTCAGTAAACCACGGTGCCCGTGTGTTTCTGCGTTTATTAACACGCTTTTAAAGATGCATCCGTCGGCGTAAATCTCCACTCACTTATCTTTAGAACCAGTAAATAAATCAGACTCTAAGGAGCCGATATTTCTATGTTTGCACACAGTTTACAGCAATTTAAGTGCAAACTCAACAGCTTGAATTAAACCCTTCAAAGTGAAACTGAAACCAAAGGACCGGGCACATTTGGTAATGCCTACACGACCAACACATTAGCGTTAGCATTAGCTGGTGAAGCTAAACATAAACAGGTGAAGCCCGGTCACACGTTTGGGGAAGCAGGTTCAGGTGCCTCCAGCTGGAGGAGTGGAGGAGGAACAGGGGGGGGGAAACCCCGATGGAAAGGAGCCACATAACCAGAACAAAGCTCCCGCTCTCCTTTCTCTCCCCAGCCTCAGACATTCTGGACAGAATGGGGAAGCTGTCATTTCCCCGACTGGCTGCGTATCTGTAATATCACTCTGTTGTCCTCCCGGGATGGGAAGTGGGAAGGTGGGGCGGTGTGGGGCAAAAATGGCTGTAAGCTAATTGGGTTCTTATCTCTTCATGCTCCTGTTCCTCTCCTCCTCCTCTGTAATCCTGGCGGACGCTCAACGCCTCGACAGGCACACACAGTCAGGGATAATTGGTACAGGCAGCCCTCACAGCCCAAACTTTATCAGACACTTCCCCACTTGTTCCTGCCTCTGCTCCTCTCACGCCTCCTTCTGGGCTCCTCTTCTTCCTATTTGGCCTCCCGAGCTTCTTCTTCTTCTCCTTCTCTGTCCTTCCCCGCCTCCCTCCGTTTCCCCTTCACACACTTTGTGAAACGTGTGAGAGAGAAACACCCCACCATGGTGTTTCACTGTGGAGGTGAACGTCCGACTGTGAGGAAAAGTGACCTTCACTCGGGGGGGATCGAATGTGACAAAAACCTCAAAGAATGGCTGAATGTTTGGTGAAACTGAGTGTGGAGACGAGTGGTGTGTGTTAAAGCTAAGGACTAGGGTTGTCACGATACTAAAATTTTCAACTCGATACCGATACTCAGGAAAATACTCGATACTCGATACCATTTTCGATACCACAAGGATAAAAACAAAGACCCCAAAATTTAACTGAATTGTGTCTTTCATTTCAAAATGACCTGATGTTATCGAGACTGGTGGCCCAGATTAATGACCCTAACCCTACCCTAACCCTCCAGTCTTCAGAATAGTGAGAAATAAATATTTTTTGGTTAAACTTGTTTGGACTTATTGTAGAAACCTATTTAACATCCACTATTTTAACATTATATTATGGATAGAGTTTAATTCAGTGTTTGCAAGATTCATTTAACTATTTCTAAATTAATGTCTATCTTGCCATTAAGCAATTAGGATTTTCTTGCCTGGGATCTTCCTATTGGTGACCTAATAAAAATGGCCGACTTTGATGTGGGCGAAGTTGTATATGTGCTTCATTAATGGTAGCATGTTATTATTAGCCATTAGCCGCAGCTAGCAAGGCTAACGTCTTGTTAATGATCATAAACAACGTAAATAAATACATAAATCAATCAGAGAGAAGGGGCGCTACTTTTGAAAATGAGTATCGTATCCGGTATCGTATGGTATCCATTTTAGTATCGATACTTTTTCGAGTATCGATACTTTTGACAACCCTACTAAGGACTGAATGCTTCTTCAGCTTTGTAATCCAGGTGATGGCTGCCGTCTTCTCTAACCTCCGTCTTCCCCCCCGGCCGGCCCGGCTCCCCGGGCCTCTGGCTCTGCTCCGGCTCTCTAACACTGTTCTGTGGCTGTCCTTCCTTCAGATGGATGTGGTCTATACCTTCCAGACGGGCCAGGCGGCGGTGCCCGGCGCCCTGCGCCGCCAGCCCTCCGTCGTCAGCCAGCACAATGACGCCACTGCCGCCGCCAAAACTCTCTCTAGCCCCACCCACCCGGGGCTTAGCTCCTCCTCCTCTCTCAACAACTCGGCCGGGGCTCCGCCCCCCGCCGCCGCTTCCTCCTCCACCGCAGGCAGTGAGTCTGTGACTGGAGGCCGGCTGACAGCACTCCTCACCGGGCTGGACTCTTTCTCTGTTTGAACCCCATCAAGCTCACTGCATGGCTCCGAAACACACCCCCCCCCCCCGCCGCCGGTGTCTGCACGTCCCGATCTGAGACTCTGTGTATTTATCTGGGTCCTTTTTGAGCATCTTTTTGGTTAATTACCACTCACGACAAAGCTCTGCTTCTCTAATGCTCCTTTAGTGTTAATAAAAAAAAACTACAGTGGGGGAAGTAAGTATTTGACCCCTTGCTGATTTTGCAGGTTTGCCCACTTACAAACAATGCTTATTTTTCCTCATCAGATGGTTATCAATTTTTATAAATTCCTATGATG